ATGAATCTGACCCTTGCTTCTATACATACTGTTGATGAGACCGAATTTAGAATATGTCCATACCTGAAGATGTAGATATCTTGGAGTTCTGAGTAGACCCATAAAAATAATTCAGAAGCTGAAAAACTCATCTTCTGATGAGAAGCATAAGGAGTTCAATCTGTGCATCTTGCTGAAGAGAGGGTGGAGGTGACTTAATTACTAGCTTAGATACTTGCACATGAAGAGATACCTGATAATGGGGATGAGGGGGAAGGCAGTCATGCAGACAAAACAAGGAACAGGAACCTGTTGCTAGAAGTTGAAGTTAGATAACTCAACCTTGAAATAAGATACAGTGTCCTAGCAGTAAGGGTACGTGAAATCTGGAATAGCTTATTAAGGAAAATGGTGGACTCAGTATTGCCTGGAGTCTTTAAAATGAGATCAGATTTCTTTCTAAAACACATACTTTAATCCAGGTACATATGCAGGATATGTGACTGGCTGATCATAATGGTCTCTTCAAGCCTTGTAGTCTCTGAACCAAGCCCTTCCCACGCTTATCCCTGAGGCTAGACACCGGCTTGGGCAGCACCTTAGCAAAGCGGGGCCAGGGGAGCGAGGATTAAAATCGCTGTCTCTGGGTGGGCATGGGACCCCAGTCTGGGTCTGCCCAGCTTTCCCCCCTGCTCTTGCTTGGGTGATGTGGGGCATGGCCAGAGCCAGCTGGCAAGGCCTTGCTATCCATCCTGTGCTGGGGCTGCAGGGCTGAGCTGAGCTAGCCTGTGGGTGCTGCTGAAGGCAGAGGCATAGGGGCAGCCCAGGCTGGGACTGTGGGGGCTGCATGGCCAGATTGCTCCCAGCTCCCCATGCCTGAGCTGGGCGGGGCTGTCATGGAGCCCCAGAAAGCTGGAAAGGGCTGCGCTGGGCCAGCCTGTTCCCCACTTCTCCCTGCATCTCCTTCTGTATCCTGAGTCCCTGGCATGAGGTCAGGCTGGACCAATGTTTCTCTGTGTTCCCGCGAACCACTTTGGGCCACATGGGTGCAGCTGGCTTGGTTCCTGCCTGACCCAGCTGCATGGTGGAAACTTGAGGTTGGGCAGGAGCTGTGCCAGCCACTCCAGCTGTGTGCAGCCTCAAGCAGCACATGAGAACACAGTGCAGCACTACGGTAGCAGCACCCGTACCCCTACCAGGCCCTGCCCTGGCTCAGCAGGGCCTGGATAACCTGCAGATCCTGACCCTTTTCCCTCTGCACCCCTTTCCCTGCCAGTGGGGAGAACCTTATCTGAACTTCAGCTCACCAGGGGCCCAACTGTCTGGTCTGTGAATGGGTACAGGGTCATAGCTGTACACAGACAACCTTCAACTACAATTTCAAATTTCTTTTTTTTTCAGTAGTTAACATCTCAAGCTTTGGCATTTGTATAAAGCGTTTTTTCTTATGTAATAAAATAATCACTGACCATTGCTAGTAAGCAGCCTACAATAGATTTTCATAAGTGTATACCACCAAAGCTGCACTAAGGGCATTCTCAGCAAGCTGGCACATTTGTAGTAGCTATATACAGACAGCTAGCTTCGGTAAATTGTTAATAGTTTCCTTACATTATCTTTCAGATTTAACCATTCACAGTGGGCATCACAGCCATCCCTGTGTTATAGTTTGTTGAAATTGTCACAGCAAATGCAAACAGTGACAAACAAGGGAAGTTAGAGCCCCCCCCCGGTTCCCCCCTTGGGGTTTTTTATAATGAAGAGGTGTACATAACTCTTGTTCTCTTGTTAACCTGTTTCAAGTTGCTAACTTTTATTCACTGTTTGGAGTTTGATTTTTATTGAAGATTGAAGGAGAAAATAGTTTTTGCAGCGCAGAGAAGTGCGAAAGCAGTTATTGATTTCACTTGTGATGAAGGTCGTGCAATAAAACCTCCAAATTGGGATCTTTATAGTTTTCCTTGTCCTTATATGAGTTGATGCTGTTCATGTTTGTGGGAGCATGTAGACGTACATGGACTTGGTCACACCAACATGTCATAGGCTTTTTTTGGTGGGGGAGGGAGTGGTGTGTGACAGAGTTTAACATACATTTTCCTGTATGTAAGGGACTTTTCTTGTTATTGGTGGAGGCATGGAAGCAAATATTTAAATTCGCATACTATCTAATTTAAAACAACCTAATAATAGAATGTACACTGTTGGGTTATAAATATCTGACAGCTCACTTAATCTTAAGCCTAAGAGCCAAACTAGTTTGCTCATGAAGCTGCTTAGAGTATCATATGTATACCCAATATACATAGAAGTTCAGAACTGCTGATTTTCATTTTGCCATCAGTTTTTCCACTATTGGCAAGAGAAAGATCAAGATTATTTTCTGAGTCAGCCTTTCAGAAGTTGCATTGTGCATGTATTTGATAAATTTCCATTTCAAGGCAGATGAAGCAATAATAAACATTGAGCAAAGGAAGTTAGAGTAATCTGTTAGCAGAATATATTAATAATGGCTAAATTAAAATAAATTGATATAGATCTTTTGCCTATTGTGAATCTTTGTTATTTTTAAATTTACATTTTTTGACTTGTGGCAGCTATCCCATTGTACCATGTGAGGGCACTCATAATTACCCTACTATAATACCATTGCTGCTCTGTGGCTTCCAGGTGATACCATTCACTTCTTTTTACAGAATATGCCAACTGTAGTGATTACAAAACATTCAAGGATGCTCTCCTTGAACTGGGTCTTATGCAGAGGTCATCCGTATTTTGAAACTCTGGTGCTGCACTATTTATAATAAGCTCTGATGCTTTTGAGAACTTCTGTTAAAGATTTCCCCATGGATAGCACTAAATTAACTTACAGGTAGTAGCAGTAGTGGACACTGGCATTCAGCAATAGTGATCACAGGTGAAACGTGAATAAAATTTTGAGGGTTCTTTGACCAAGTACACCAGTCATTTTGTGGTCCCATGATGTTATTCGCCTTCCTTCTGTACAGCTCTCCAGTAACCCCTCTAGCTGATAACTGCCTAAGATAGGCAGCAGTGTAGAGCCTCTGCTTAGATGCTTCTCCTTGATGGAGTGCAGCAGGGTTGCTTGCTGTTCTAGGATACTAGGGTCCACTTCCTAGTCCATTTATTAGGCACCTAGATTTAGACACCAAAGCATGATCCTATTCTGTTCTGTTCAAGTCCATGAAAAGCCATTAACACAAAAGTTGGGTGGGTTCTTGTCCACCTAGCTCCTTTGTGTGACTTAGTCTTAAGGTTGGATGGCACATTACAAAAATATATGGGATAACTTCCCTTTCCCCCTCACACTTCTCTTCCCCCCTGACCTCCCCAGGCCTATAGCAGAGTGGAAAGGGATTGCACTTAGATGCTTAAATGAAATAGGATTTGGCCTTAAATGCTGACATTGAACTCATCTTGCAAATCTTTAGTCACATGAAAAATTGTCAGTGCTAGAAATGTACGTACCAAAGTAATTGATAGGACTTCAAAGGAGGGTTTGAAGGATTAAACTCTTTATTTTGGCTTATTTCATATTACTGCGAAGTCTCTTTGTTTACTGGTCCTTATGTAAGTAGGATGTAATCCAAATGAAATGATGTAATGTTCGTTTTTATTTAATTGGATTTGATAGTAATCTTCAGAGATTCAGAATGCATTTACTGTTGAGGAATTTAGTGAGGACCATTTTTCTTGTCATTAAAACAAAGTGTTTCTTTTGACCTAGCACTATATATTGTCATTCCTGTCTGCTACCTCTACTAGTCATCTTTTTTCTTTCTAACCTTCCAACTAAAGCTTTTATTTCTTCATTATTTCCTATCACAACTACTCCTTTTTAGTCTCTGCCTCCCAAACACTTTTCTTGTCCTGTGTTCCTACCTTCTGAGTCTCTGCCTCCCAAACACTTTTCTTGTCCTGTATTCCTACCTTCTGAGCAGTATAAAGCCTCTGCTAAAAATTCTCTTACCTGTTGTTTTCACTGTTGTCTTTGCTTTGAAACCCCCAAACTCTGCTACCCCATATATTTTAACTTCTTGTTGCTGCTTTTAAAAAAAAGCATAATTCTTCATCTTCTTACTTTAATCACTCTTGCCTCATTTCAGATCATCTTCCCCTTTTTGACATTTCATCCTCATCCACCCATTCACCATATTTTTTCATGAATGTCTTTGTCTTTTTTCCTGCTTTCTGCTGAGCTGTTTCTGAACTAGTTTATAGAGCCTGTATCTCTCCATATTTAAATCCACTTGAAAACTCATTTTTGCCACACTACCTGTGAGGAAGCTAGTTGACTTTTATTTTTTGGACCAAGACCTTGACTTCTCTACTTACGTTGTACCTCTTCTGCCTACTCTAATTTGTCTTTCTGCCATTATGTTGTAAGACATGCTTTGGGGAGTGGAGTTCATACCACTACTTTGTTTAGAAAATGTTCAGCATAGCTTGGCTATGAGTAACAAATTAATAATGGTCTGACAGACACTCTTGGTAATTGGGCTGACAAGTAGTTTCAGGTCTCAGTCTTT